ACGATGAGTCGCGACCGAAAGGCTTTGATTATCTGGCAAAATAAAGAAACTTCTATTTCACGTACACTTAGACTCTATTGTCAGTCCATTCATCTTTAAGCGGTCGTGCTGTTTCATAGTTTAATTTGCTGTATGTTAACGAAGCAAAAGACGTGTGTAATAAACGATCCTAACAAGAGAAATTGGCTACGTTCAGTAGAGAAAGCAGCTTTGCAACTATTGTAAAATTCTTCAATATAATTGGTTCTTACTTTTGGTTCCTTATAAATCTAAATCATATAAACCAATCATATTGAAGAATATAACAGCTGCAAAGCTGCTTTCTCTGCTGAACGCAGTCATTGAAGTCAGCATGTTTTGGCTAGAAAGTGAAATATTATTATAGACAGACAGACGAAAAATATAAGTATACATATTGGAAATAATTTGAACGCTCGAACAAAAAATATATCCAACTATACTGGAAAAAGAAAACTGATTTGGTTACATTAATTGGAATTCTAGTTTAAAATGAACAAATCAGAATTTTCTGATATGGTTAAATCCATAATTAAATTATAATTTTTAGTTGCTTAATCAAAACTCTGATCGATATACTCGTAAGTCCAGTTTCCATCAATGTAAGATTAATTTTAATCTCGGTTTATTTTACAGTGTATTATTTTTTTCTAATTTTTAGAAAGAATTCTATAAATATGCAAACAACAAAATAGATATAATTATATATAATTATAAGAAATATAGATTAAAATAAATATTTGTTTTTGGTATTTATGTATACATGCTTATGTATACATGCGTATACTCGTATCTTTCATAATTATGTTATAATTACATTATGTTATTTCAATGCGTAACTTTCGCAAGGAATTTCTTAGTTCGATAATTGAAGTGCGACGAAAAAAAGAAAACGTTTAAAGTCCGCGTTGTATGGGAACAAGCAATTTTGTGGGTGCACTTCCCACGGATTCCGAACGGATGCCCAGATAATACATAACGACCTCAGTGGGGGCGAGGTACCGCAAAACGTTGCGCATTGCGTCTTACTGCACGCAGCTAGCTATATTGCAGTTGTCGGGGTGCATGACTCCCTTCTCACTGCAGTCTGCAGGTGGCCAATCAACCTCAGGTTTTTGGGTCGTGCCACTTTGCGGATTTTCCGGTGTCAGGGATTCTTAAGAGGATTTTATCGATAAATTTCCCTCCTTCACATTTTCCAATTGTATGGTTCTATTTTTTGATCAGATACGCTAGAAATAAAGGATATATCTCTATGTAAATTTTTTTATTTCATTCAGTAAAATTATAATAAAATAAAATAATGTAATTTATATAGCGACATTTCTCATTAATACTAACAAAAATCTATATTCTCTACGATTATTTTTAAACAAAGTTTCTCTACAATTTTTTAAATTTTGGTTTTTAGTATAAAAAATATGAAACTCTTTTTTTTACTTTTATAAAAAACCGTAGAATTATGAAAAATGTTACTGAAAATCATTATTTCTTTCATATTAATAGTATGCCGTGCTAGCAAAAAAAGTGGGATCTGTGAAGTTAGCATGACATTCTGTTAGGACCATCACACACAAAATGACATAAGTTGCATAAAGCTGGACTAATGAGCATCTGACATAAAAACCTCATATCAATTTACATAAGACGCTTATTTGTCCAGCAGCTTTATAGCTGTAATTATGCAGCTTATGTCATTTTGTGTGAGATGGCCATTGATATAAAAAAATTGACACATAATATACACATAAAATACAATATTATATTTTGTGTATATATATATCTCAAATACATATATTATATTTTGTGTATATATATATATATCATTTAAAACAAAAAAAATATTTACGGTATATTTAAGTAATAAAATCTGAGTAATTTTTATATTTTGATTCTACAGTACAAAATAAAAAATTCGATTACGAACATTCTTATTAAAATCAATCTTGTATAAAACGGTACTAGAATTACTCCGGATCTACAATAGATTTTTAAGCCTTAAGTCATAAGGAATGGACGAATCAATTATTCTCTTCGCATTCGACTGTAGTTGGTTAATTTCGTACGACTTAAGGCTTAAAACTGCACTTATTGTAGATCCGGACTTAAGCTTGCGTGTTTCTTCGAGCGATCAATAAAAAAAAAATGCAGGTACAGAAATGCATTTTTCGCTGCCAATTAAAGTGCAATTCTTGAATTATTTCAGGTATTATTAGACCGAAGTTTCATTAAAATACATCAACAACGACAGCAGATGCGATCAGTCGTTTTAAGTGATGTAACATGCGATGGATTTTTCTTGTAACTTTCCAGATACAATGAATATCCGGTATCCCAGGCAGAAATTGCATAGCGTTATTTCTTGCCAAGTTTGAAATTAACTTTCCTAAATAAAAACGTCTACATATTTCAGTAAAATTTATAGCACTTCATTTTTTAAAATTTTCTATAACTGATAGAGTTTCTCTCTCAAGAATCACTGTCTTTATTTCACGTTTCATTCCGTAAGGAATTCTAAAATTCCCAATGTGTTCCAGAAAGAGTTTGATTAAATATGAAAAATAAAGAATACACCGAGTGTCAACATTTCGTTATTAAAGTTAATAGCAACATTCTCATTTCAACATTCTCAATCAAAGTCGTTTTGAATCATGGTCTTTTTCGATGAAGACACCATCTAAAATTATCTCTTAAGCCATTATCATAAATTGCCGAGAAAATGTCAAATTCATTTTTTAACGTAAAAATTAGGAAAGTATTTTCATCCTCATCTTAGTTTTAATATTTCGAAATAATTAATAAAACTCTAATTCATGTTTCTTTAATTTCAGGACACTTTATTCAGTCTGTTTGTCGCTCACCAGACATTCGGTATAACGCGTTTGAATTCGATTGCGAAGCAACTAACACATGAAAAGTCAATGGGTAGTTCAGACACGTTACCGAGGATATTTGGCTACTAACCAAAAAACTGAGAAATGAAACGAGCAAGTTTCACGGTCGAGATTGGAATCTAGAATGTAGACACTTATTAAGAGAAGAGGCCGTGACCCCGTAGAGAGTTAACCTCGCGTGAATTTTCCACTATATTCTTATATAATTTAAAAAAATAAAAATAGAAATGACATTTTACAGGACCACATAATATTTGAGATATTTTCAAAGGGTAATTTTCGAGGGAATAACTGCGAATCACTGCCAAACCATCATTGTTCGCACGCGATATTTACGAAATCTTCATCGCCATTGTTCGCGGTGGTCGGGAAATTGGGACAATCGTAGCCTCTGAGTGCGCAGCAGCGGTTTCTTCGCATTGCGTGGAAACATTTACGGTTTCACGACGTGAGAAGAATCGCGCGAGATCCTGATCTCGCCCTTACGCTCGCGAAAGCGGCGCTTTGACCGATGCGTTGCATCGCAGCGTCTCGACTGTCTCGAGATTTAGTAGAACGTTGGCGGGGAAAATATTTTCGTTTACGTCGAGACGTTTATTTATCCCAAAGGCGCGGGAATACCACCTGCGAAGGTCTGTTGTTCACATAAACACGTCCCGTGTTGATTTGTACATGTCCCATTTCTCTTTTCTACCCCTTTATTCTTTTTAAATTATTTTAGATTTTTCCTAGCACTTTTATGCTCCTTTGTTTATATTCTATCTTATAAATGACATAATTTAAAGTGCGTTTGTTTTTTTATACTTACATATTGTGAATTTCATTCTATCTTTATCGCTTATATTTCATGCGGGAAGAAGAACAAAGCTTGCAGCGAGCTTAAAAACGCATTCCTAATAAACGCAATTATTTCTTTTAATATTCTTTTTCTTTAATTTCTAATAGATATAACGAATTATTTTCTGCGTGTGTTTATAGGCATTATATTTGCATATTACACTTGTAAATTATCATATCAACTTTTATGCAGGCAATAATTTATTATTGTTATGTTTAACGATCCAATGAACAATGATGAGTCAGAGCTTAGAGAAGAAAGGTGTTTTTTTTTTTAGGGTTTGTCTAGAAATAACCACCCGCCGGTGATGAAGTGCACTTACTTTAAAGTGCAATCAGGAGTGCAAGCGAGGCACATATGGTAGAAAAGCTCGGGTATGTAAGCTTACACGAAATCGTTGCCACGTGTTGTTATCCATGGTCGCACGTTCGAAGCTCGTAAAAAAGGCAAGAATTGAGTTGGTTCGAGCATGTTACGCTCCATTGAGCGTAAACAATCCACGTCCGGAACGCGGTTGACTTGAACGAACTATCTAAGGGATCTTCTTCCCTAATCCGTGAATTTTTCAACCACGGAGAAATATATATCGATCGTTGGATCAGTTGCCTACTTTAATCCCGGAAGCATAACTTCCCTTCTCATTGAATAATAAGATGGTAAGGTAATGACGGAAATGAATTTAAAAACTAAACTCTGTCGCGAGTACAAGAATTTTTCTGTCTTATACATGAAGAAAGTAAACAGATGAAAAGAAAATATAGGTATGTGATAAAATGATACTGAATAATCCGATATTCATAATCTATTCTTATTTTAAGGAATAATTTTTCATTTTTTTAATGTTAGATTGAATCTGATAATAATGTAAAAGTTATATTTTTCTAACTATGATTAATAACTAAACTGATTAGTAGATTGTAGTGGTAACTTTTAAAGTAGTAACTTCTAAAATGATTTTATAGTGATAAAATTATCACTACAAAATCATCAATTTAATTAACTGTAGTTAAAAAATACTACTTTCACATTATCATTATCAAGTTAAACGAGATCAAGTCTAAATCACAAGTTAATCAGAAAATAAAAAACGGGACCTAAGATTATCTTAAGTAATGTCTTAAGAGATGCTAAGACTCTATGATTGATTTATAACAGTTTAAGATTACAACTTAAGATGATCTTAAATATAATAACCAACTATGAATACCAGCTGATGTCTATTTTTTCATAAATGCACATATTTCATTTACTTGTCCGCGCGCTTCCCTTCCTCGCATCCACGTCGTCGATTATGGCACATCCCCTCTACGGTGATTAATAGCTGAAGATGCATCGTTGCGAGAAATTGCAAGTCGCTCGTATGCGAAGTATCGCCCCGTCCTGTTATCGCAACGGTGCCGGCCGAGCGTTTAAAAACCGCATGTTCAACGAGGCATAAGTCCGAATTAGCACACAGCCACATGCAGATTCCCACCGAAGATACGTTCCCATAGGCGAACTCCGTTGTCTATCTCTATCGCGCATCCCGTTGTCCTGCAAAACCCTTCATAATTACGAGTTCTCCATAAACCTTTCTTCTCTTCATACTCACTCATTCCTAATTATCTTCCTCTTTCAACATTTTAAATTCACATTTATATCATTTATATCATTTATCATTATTATCATTAACGCTTTCATTATTTTCTGCCTTTCCATCTTGTATCTTTTTATACTTAGAAAACCCAAGAGCATTAACGATCGTATCCAAACGTAATTGCAGGTTCTTAAACGGTATTTCGTTTGTTCCTAAGTTTTCGAGAAACTCTTCCGGGTTAAAGGAAGAAAAACTGTTGTCCGAGGGTCTCTTGGGATAGAAGGAAAGTTTAAGGAACACCGTCCAAGAGGTTCTTCCACGCGTTAACACGCGCTTCGGTTCACGAGGTTCAAATTAGCGCCGCAAAGTGCATTCGACGCGCCACACCGTAAAGTTTTCGGGGTCCCGTCCCCGATGCGGATGCACTCCCCACCTCCAGGATTTTGTTATGCTCGCGCGAGTGCACCGGGCAGGAGGATGCTCCTGTTTCGAAGTTCAGTGAACAATCTGGGATGAAATGAACGGGGACAGCTGTCGGATGTACCATGTGCGCCATGTATACGTAAGTCGGGAACCTGTGCAAGTTGCCTGCTGCAACACGGATGCAAGGACGCTTCTCTCAAGGGGGGTCCTTTAACGCGTCCGATTACACGCGCAAGGCACATCAATATCCCCTGCCTTATCCCTTTTCTGTCGTTCTGCAGAAAGAAAAAAATATTGTATAAAACTTTTTACTGCAGGGGTTTAAATTAATCCAAGGCTTGACTGTGTTCAGCAGAAAAAACTTTGCGACTATTATAAGCTTCATTAATATGATTGGTTCTTGCTTTAATGTTTCATTGGATCCAAAAATCACATTGAAAAAATTTCTGGTTGAAAATGGACGAATCAGAATTTTCTAGTTAAATTTATTAGAATTCTAGTTAAGATACCTGAAATTCTGGTTGATATAATATTTCTGGGAAAATCTATTAGAATTCTTATTTTTTACTAGAATAATTATATCAATCAGAATTTTAGTTATTTCAACTAAAATTCTAGTAGACTTAACCAGAAAATTCTGATTCGTCTATTCCACAAGAATTACTGTTTAATTCAATCAGACCAATTTTCTCAGTGCAATCATATTGAAGAATCTTACAGTTGCAAAGTTGCTTTTTCTGCTAAACGCAGCTATTAATTAAACGAGAAGTACTATGAGTTCGTCAATCACAAACAATTTTGCTAGAAAAAACAATTTTACTTGCATCTAAAAATTTAGCTATAAATACAAATCTGAAAAGTAAGTTTTGTTGGATTGTCGAAGTATGTAGGATACTCAAACTGATTGTTAGAATATCAAAATTTTTTGTAATATTATTCATCATGTTCGAGCTTTCTACATAATTATTTTGACGGTTCAGCAAAATTATTTTCAGATCGGGATTTTTAAATACTTTAGTAAAATTGTTCTTTGTGCAGAAATTAAAGTAAAGCATGTTTTTACGTCATTAATCGACCTCGGATCGATTCAAACCTGCTGCAATTGAAAATGTTAATGTCTAATCTATAATAACCGTAAGCCATAAAAATTGACCAACCATAGTATAATGTGAGGAAAACAATCGATTAACTTTTACGACTTACAGCTATTATAAGTTGCGTTCAGCAGAATATTTATTTTGCAACTGTTGGAAGTTTTCTTCGCACTGCGCTGATTGGATTAGACCTAGAAAAATAATCCTATCTCAGCGAAGAAAACTTCCAACAATTGCAAAATAAACATTCTGCTAAAAATACCCATAATATAGACACGATAGTTTCAATCATTTCTCAGCAGAAGAACGACAGAGTTATATATACATATACACATTTATTGAAAAACACAGAGGGCTCTTCAATAAATAGTAAACAGTGTAGAATTTCCATTTATTTGCTTAGTTAGCGAGGTGGATGTAAACCGTACTAAACAGAATCCAGCGGTTGTGGAACGCGATGCATACTTGAAAAACGATCCATGACCCGGCTTCGTGACTTTATTTCTGGCCGTGCGTAGCCGTGCGTGCAGCACGCGTATAGCCAGACGGTCACGCGGCGACCGTAAGTCGTGTTATACGAGAGAGGGTCTCCGGGCGGCCTATTTTACGGCCTTGAAGAAATCTTGCCTTACCTCGTCACCGTGACTGGGTGCTGCGTGAACGTATCGTGTGAAGAACAAAAGCACATCTACGAAGTGCAAACGACATCACGCCATGTGCATTCTTTTTCTTTTCTTACATCACACTGTACGACGTCCAAGGCTAATATTCCTCGTTCGTTAAAGTCGCAACATCAAGAAATTCTTGGTATTTGTACATGTTTGATGAAGTAGCTACGAAAAAGAGATTGCAAAGATGTGATAAGTAAAGAATAATCTGATTCTCCTAACATCATTTCTATATGTTTGATTATCCACAATTATAATTAAAATAAATCTTAAAAAATAGATATTAATTGAAAATCGATGGAGAAATATTCTATAAATAAGCGAAAAAAGCCATATTCGGTCAAAATGACTTCTTATGTCTAATAATATTTGATATTGTGAATTTGCTTGAACCGGAAGTTCACATAATAAAATTATTATCAAGATCCTCTTTGACCGAATATGGTCTTCTTTGCTCATTTAAGAAGAATATATAAAGAAAAAAAGAAAAAGAATATATATCTACGTGTAACGAGCGTTCTTGTTGTACAAGATTTAACGTGATTCATACTCTAATACTTTAACTATTTTCGCAAATATGTATGTATGCGTAAGTTAGAGGAAAAAACTTCGTAATACTGAAGATAGACTAATTTGAGGCAGAAACGTTTATTTTATTGTTAATCTATTGAAATATAAAATTCTAGCTTTGAACATTTTGCGTTATGGTGTATGCCTTTGTATTATTTGCTGTTTTAAGAATATATAAATTGACAAGAGATTCGGAATTACTGAAAGAACTTCAGATTAGGTCAAGTTACTTATCCCGAGGAGCGCGCAGTTTCTCACAGTCCTTTCCTTCACGTGATGTCCTTCGTCTTCTGCCCGTCTTCCTCCCTTGCTCTTATTGCGGATCTTGTTCTCGCCGCGAAGGAAACTTGTCTTGTGAAAGACGTACAAATCGCTCGAAGGTACGCCAGCGATCGCGCGAACGATTTAACGTATCCACGCTAATTCCTCTCGCGCAAAACAGGAAACCGCGGTCAGGTGGTAGAACAGATGGAAATTGAGAGGAGAAAGAAGTTGAGCGAGTCTCAGGATACACTCGATGTATCCAAGTACTACACAATTTAAATAATAATGAATTCCATCCATTTGCATTACGTAGATTAAGGCATAACAGCTATTCCATATGAAATTAGAAAAATTAAATGTTATATATTAGGTGTTGGAATTAATTCGTAGCGTTTTACAAGTGATGGGAAGTACTTTCATTAATGTATTTTTTAATGCTCATGTGAAATAAATAACATTCTTTCATTAAAAACGCTACGAATTAATTCCAACACCTAATATAAAATTTTATGTATAAAAGCATATAAATATTTTAAATGTTTACACTGAGAAAAATTTGGTTTGGTTGGATTAAAGTAGTAATTCTGGTGGAAAACGGACAAATCAGAATTTTCTGGTTAAATCTATTAGAATTCTAATTGAGATAATTAGAATTCTGATTGATATAATTATTCTGGTAAAAATAAGAATGCTAGTAAATATTTTACCAGAAATATTACTTCAAACAGAATTCTGGTTATCTTAGACTAGAATTCTAATAAACTTTAACTAGAAAACTTCTAATTCGTCCATTTTCAACCAGAAATTTTTTCAGTGTTAAATATCTAAATGATAAACATTTTTTAATGATTAAATAATAATCACATTATTTTTACAGAATATATATGTTATTTCATTGTCAAAGTTGATTTTATATATTATGCCACTACCTCTCTAAATTCTTTGAAGTGAATCTCATTCCAAGAATGAAATCGCATTCCAAAGAATTTAGAAAGGCATTTATATACTTTATATTTATTCGATATCTTCTTTCATTAAAGTAATAAAAGTTTTTACACTATAATTTCGCATCTTTAATCGCGTTGTATTTCCTTTATTCCTTATTTTTGCTTTATCGTAGTGTTTTGTATATAGCCTTTAATGTGTACTAATCCAGTGTGAATGACCGAATTCATCAATAAGCTCTTCGTTTATTATCTTAAGAGATTTCCTACTTATTCACCTTATAAACATCCTTCATTTTGTCCGCTCGTGGCTCAGAACGAAACGGAAAGGAATGAAGTCACTCGATAGAGAATTCGCTTACGTAAATCGCGGAAACATCAAGAAACTCCTGATTTTCATTTCACGAAGGTGCGCATCGCGCGCAAGAGTCATCCAAGCTGCAATTGTAAATTGCGCCTCGGTGAGAGTGACGCAACACTCAATGATTAATCTCGAAGAATGCAGCGTGTCGCGGAATAGACAATCCGTGTTACGTTACGCCGTCTCAAATGTCCTTTCGCACTCGCGCTCAGGTGAGCGAGAATTTCCGTTACCGATAAGGACCTTGAAGTGAGTTGTGCAAGCTGCAAATTGACTCGAAATAACCAGCGTGTGCAACGTGCGCGTCGCTCCGTTCACCGATATTTTCACTTTTCATCGCGATTCCACCGCATGGTCAGCGGCGGAACAAAGGAAATATAGCGGAGGAAATATATAGCGGACACGCGAGCAAAAAGAGAACAGGAGAAAAGAAGAGGTACGTGGGAGATGAAGTGCACGTCGGAGAAACGGCACGAGATGCACTTGCTTCGACACACGCGAGTCACGCTGGGAAATGTCGCGGGCGAATAATGGGCGAGGAGACACGTAATTTGCTTCTCTGTGGGCGTGACAGAAACGGAAAGTCAAGTTTCGCAATTTTTCCACCGTGTGCACCAGGCGAAGGCGAATTACGTTTTATTTTATTATTACGCGGAAAGTGTTTACGCCGTGACGTTGCGTATTCTGTACGCAAGAGATTTATCGTCCTGCATTAATCTCTTCCTCTCATTATTAAGTCCGATTTCATAAATATGTAAGATTAATTCTACTTACCCTGGCGAAAATTGTTCTCATAATTTTGATACAAATTGAAACATTTTTCAGAAATACTTAGAAATATTCGGAAAGTTTACATCTTCTTTCAGAATTTTTCGCACAAGTGAATTCTGAAATATTCTGAAATTTCTCAGTCCAATAATTTAAAAATAATTTTTAATTTTTCGGATTTTACAATATTTCATTAGAAATTACGTACAAAAAATCTTAGAAATCTTATAATATTTTATAATTAAACATATACGAAAAATTCTAAGAAAAGATGTAGATTTTCTGAGAAATGTTCCAATTCGTATAAAAATCTTAGAAAATTATAAAATTATATAGAAATTCTGAAAAAAATTATAGGAAAAATTCTGAGAAAAATTTTCACCAGGGTAATCTCTCGGATCAATTTATACTTTCCAATTCTAAAATTGGAAAAAGATGATTAAGTTGAATTGAGATTAAAATTAATCTTATATTGGTAGAACCGAACTTAAATCTTCTTTGCTAATTAAATCTCAAATCATGTTAATTATCTAAATATTACAAAAAATTAATTACATTAAAATGCAAAAACAAGTAATTTTGTAACACGGCATGCAATACGAGAAAAACAAAACGGGTCTGCATCTCCGCACGGTAATTTGCTGACGAACGCGATTGCCATGCTCGGCACGATATCGGAATGAGCTGTGGAAATGTAACATTGGCGAGCCACCAAAAAACAATTTACCGCGAAAGCGGGAGCGGATTGGAGGACTCGTTGCCATTCGCAACGGTAGAAATCCGAGAAATATGCGTGTCTTAACAAGAAATAAATATGAAATTGCTGCAAATCAACCGAGCCACGAATGTACAAACTTCTCTACCGTACCGTAGAAACTCCTACTTATGACGCCGAGAGAGCACAAGTATCCAGCAGGCCTATGAGAATAAAACCGAGAAGAAGTTACAGAGAGAGAACACGAAGAAGAAGAAGACGAAGACGAAGACGACGACGAAGAAGAAGAAGAAGAAGAAACCAAGAAAGACGAGAAAGCCTTGCCGAGGAAAAGAAGGGAGCGGTCAGTGGCCCCTGTGCACCAGCTATCGCGTCCCTATGGCATCGCCTCGCGTCGACGAGTTCCACGGCGAATAATAATGGGAAATTACAGAGAGGCGTACGGTGACGACTCGAGGCCTGCTGCTTTTTGTCGTTGCCAGAGATAAGACCTGCGACTACGGTAACGAGGTCGAGACAATAGCGGTCTCGAAGCGGTCTCGAAGCGGCGCGGCGTGGCGCAGGTTCCCTCGGTTGCCCCGGCATTCTGAGCGTTCCAACTTTCCTTCGAGAGGCCGACGCGCCAAGGAGGGGTCCGATGAAGAATTCGCTGTAATGACCGAGAGACGGTGGGTCAAAGATTCGAAGATCTTCCGGCTTGCATCCGATACCTCTCTTGAGAGGAATCTTTTTTCTTTTTCTCTTATTTCATGCTTTGAGAGAAACGTTTGGTTACGAACAACCATGTGAATTATCAAAATTTTGTTACGTTGGAATTAAAAAATTGTGTTGTTCTAATCAAAATTTGATTAGACTAACCAAGTATAACATTTTAGTTGTTCATATCAAACATTTCCCTCATGAAATAAAAAGAAGAGAAAGACTTTCTTCTTCCAGATGCAAGCCGGAAGATTTTCGAATTTCAATGTGGATTCATTCGTCCTTTCTTTTGTCCATCTAGTCGCCTGCATTTAATAAAAAAAACTTGACGGTAAATGACAATGTTTATCTCTATATTATTCGATTCTTTTTTTTTTTTTTGAGCGTAATAGAACAACGCATTCTTCTGAAATATTGCATTTCCGCTTGTTAACTTTTCTGTCTGCTATTACATTCTGATATCCTGGTAAGAAAGTTTGATGCTCCAATACGTTTCAATCGACAAAAAGGATTTCACGAACAGGAAGAAAAATGGAGAAAATAGACCAGGCTTCAATGAGAAAGGAGACGGGCGGTATTAAACGTGGCGAGGATTCCGCGGCACGGAGGACAGGAAGATGACGGTAATGAAGATGACGCGGTCATGGAACAATAAAAGCAAAAGGTAGCCGGCACATCCGGTCGGAACGACAGGAGTCCGAGAGGATAACGGCCTAAGGCCATTCGGGACCGGTAAAGGCTGCAAACTACGGTCTCTGTCGTTTACCGAGTTTTTACTGTCGCAACTCGCAGAAATCGTTATGTCGTGCCGATGATGTACCATCAGACATTACGCTCAACTGTGCTGCAATAAAAATATTGTACAAAACACTTCTCGCAAAATGCACTCTTTTCGAACTAGAGAATTATTTCACTGAGTTTGAGATGATTTCATAAAAAGGCCTTTATAACAATAATATTCACGTTTTCCGGGATATATTTAAACAATTGAAAAATGCACCACTGTTCAAAAGCCAAGCTCCAGCAAGAGAAACAAACATTTTCGGTTTGTTTCGAATAGATTTTACTTTAATGGAATTTTAGTTCAATTTATTTGCTAAAGATACATACTATTAAAAATTGAAAAATTATGTGTGATGTAAAAGTAAATTACTACACAGAACATAGGATAAGTAGATTCTAGTAATTTATTGAAACAGCAATTGAGAAAAAATGCATATATCGTAGACTTAAAATGATAACCTTTTTTCGACATTTCCGCTAAGAAAAGATCAATTTAAAAAGAAAATATTCGCAGATAAATGAATAGTCTCTTGCTTTTTAAGCCCTTTTTGAAACTCGTCGGTTATATGAATGACTAATTCAGGAAGTCTTTCTTTCCGGATTCGCACTCAATAGTTCTACCTGGTCGAAGAAAAGCACACTCGCTCGATGGAGTAAGTAGAAGGCTATAGAAAATGGTGGGAGCTATTCTATGAGCGAGGGAGCAGAGGGACTTGTCGAGGATCAGGTAAAGGCCCTTGTTCTCCATTGTGCCACGGTAGAGCTGACGCCAATGATAGATACCTTTCCTAGTACATGCGCCGTATATACGCACGTACGTGTATACGGTTACTACTACTAATGTTCTCTGTCTTCCACACGCAGGTTAAAACGCAAACCCTTTTTATATCGGCCAAACGTGCGGCAAACCGGCTCTCATTTTCTTCCACGAAGTCTACCAGCAGATAACGATAGCACGATGGCATGGCAACCAATGTAATGTCTCATTTCATTATTTTTTCTTATTTTCTTATATCATTATACTGTTATTACGCTATTGAAGGTGGTTATAATATTTCAATGTTTTACGATAAGAGGAAATCTATCCCATAAATTTTAATTTTACTTAAGATTATTATTATTTGTAGCCATCTGCTGTAAATCTAATAACAGATATTTTGTGGCTTCCTATATGTAACTGTCATGAGTACTGTCGAGTAAGACAGTCTCTCTTATAGAAAGTTATCGCTCGATTTTTATGGAAAAAAATAGAAATGCACGATTTGGTAGAAAAGTACGAGACCCCTCGGCATCATGGCTCTTATCTCCCTTTATCTGCCAGTCTACTGGTATCAATGCTCAACGTTGTCCAAAGGAAATTTAATCAATGGAGGGGCCTATTCTCATTACAGAGTTACGCATGGTATAAGCTGAATGAAAAGCAAGATTGTTTAATTTTTTCTTTCTTTCTTTTGTATCTTCTCTAAAAAAATTGAAACGGTGATCTTTAAGTTAAGACCGGAATGAAAAGATTCACTTTAACTGCGCGCCAAATTGTTCGAATGATTTGAAGTAGAGGTTTAAGTTCGGACAATGTAGTAAAAAACGGAATTTTATTCATAATTGAGCGAATGTCTGAAGATTCGACTGTTCAAAAAGCTCGAAATAAATTCGAGAGCAACTTAATAAAGATTCGAAGATAAAATTAATTATATTTCGCAGACAGGAATAATTGAGAAATTTATTTGTTCTTCTTTCGTAATATAATCGGAATAATTAATTATTAATAGATATAAATGAATATATGAGATAAAAATCTTATTTAAGGCGAGTCTTAATGCCTAATAATCTTTTGTGTGGATTTTTATAACGCCTAGTTCAAGCAAATTTCAATTATTTGATTCGAAACGCAATCCTAGATTGAAGCTGAAATAATATCACAAATTAAATTGAGCAATTTAATATTACTGATGTTAATAAACATATTTAAAACATCTGTAAAGAATTTATTGCGAAAAATATCATCTCAGTCGGGATTCAAATTTTTTTCCTCAAGACGCCCGAAAGGAATAAGGAAGAACCAGGTTTGAATCCTAGTTGAAGTGAATTTTTCGCAATAAATTCTTTACGGTGTTTTAAATGTGCTCATTTTTTAGCAGCAGCAACATTAAATTACTCGTCAATTTAATTTATAATTACACAATTAGTCTAGGATTGTGTTTTAAGACCGGCAAATATAATCAGTGCGCTTAAACTAAAAATTGTAAAAATTCACGTGAGTGAAAAATGTCATATTCGGTCAGAATTCGTTTTTCGTGCCTAATAATGTTTCTTGTAAATTTCCAATTGAAAAATTTATATAAAAATATTATTAGACACCAAGGCTTTTGATCAAAAATATGTCCTTTTGACTTAATATTATTACTTTATCTTTTGTTTAAATCCAAGTTCGAATTGTTGTTGATGCAGTAGATAGGTACATGATATATGTT